GGAACTTCCTCCGCCACCCCCATTCATCACGACTCAATGAAATGGCGGGGGAAGGCGTGGGCGAACGGCGGCGGGACGGTATTAGTCATCGGCAGCTTTAATGCAAGAGAATCCCTATTTTGACACGATAGTATTATACAGGGTTAGTGATGTAAGCAGAAAAAAAACGTTTTGTTTTTAAAAAAAAACATGTTTTTTTTAGAAAAAAAACAAAGGGGTTTGTTTTTTTCAAAAATGTTGTTTTTTTTTCAGAAACATTGTTTTTTCCTTAATAGAGATTATAAGGGAAAAGAGTAAGCTTAAAGCAGAAAATTTTTGAAACTTTAAAATGTGTAATCGTTATTTATAATAAAAACACCAAATAAAAACTTGCTTCTAAAATAAACATAACATCTATGAAAATTAAATCAAAAACTTAAGTGAAATAGTTTTTATCTATAAAAAAAATAGGCAGAATTTAAATCTTACATGTCAATGAATATTTAAAATTAAAAATCTCTATAATCAGAATCAACGTCAAATTCTTCTGGCACCTCCGACGTGTCAGTATCGTGTACAGAAAAGTTTTCAGTTTAATTTTTAGCGCATCGATATTGAAGATAATCATTTCTATGATTAAAGCGATCTTTTAATAACAAATGGCGACACTTGTCATACATTGTTTTGTAAATTTTTTATAAAACAAAAAAACGAACGCTTTTTTAATTATTATAAAACTGTTTTTTATAATTTGAAAAAACAAAAAAAACGGTGTGCAAGTTTTTTTTATAATTTGAAAAAAAAACAATGTTTTGTTTTTTTTCTGAAAAAAACATGATTTTTTAAACGTTTTTTTTTTCAAATTTGAAAAAAAAACGTTTTTTTTACATAACTATACAGGGTGTCCCATGTCCAATGGCAATACAGCGACTGAAATGTATAAAAATTAAAATTTGTATGAAAAATACAAACTTGTGATCATTTTTAATGGTACACCTAGAGGGCGCTCATGACAGGTTGAATTGGGTGAATCAATACTTACTTTGTTTAATTTCATTAAGATTAAATAAAACATTTAAAAATTAATAAAAACGATATACAAGATAAAAAATAGTTTTACCCATCAGAATGTCTAAAAGGGCGAAAGTAAAACTGTTAACTTTCATCCTCAACAGATTTTCTTTTTGTCCAATTTCTTATCTTATATTTTCAATAAGGCATTAGGGGAATGAAAGGGTTGCTAATAGGTACCAATATTTATAAATTATTTTCGTTTCATATTTCATAGAAGATTTTCACATCAAAGATATTTTCAGCCGCAAATTATAACAAAGTAGGTAATTAATCATTTTATCAAGGAATCCTTTATTTCTTACACAAGGTTTAATGTGTTATTGATTACTTTGATGAGAAAATTTATGGGTTTTCCAAAATGTTAAGCAGAAATAATACTTACCTAATATTATCTAGAAAATTATTTAAATTAAATATTTGTATAAAGCGACATCTAGGTATACGAAAATAAAATAACCATTCCAATAAACATTTTCACCATTAACATTGCCCGTTATTATTTTAATTAAACTTAAAAATTATAGATACTTTAAAATATTAAAATAACTTAAAAATATGATTATGTTAAGAAAATATTTTACCCTTTGATTTTTTTATCACTATAATTGCAAAATATTACCACAAATTATTAAAAATTCTTAAACGGGAAATGTTAAAGGTACAAAAAGTTTTATTTATTACCGGCGTTAAAATCTCAAATTTTTCTATGGAAATCAATTTTTTTCCCTTAAAAATAAACTAACAATCGATATGGAAGCAGTTTTTCACAGTAAAAGAGAAGAGAATGTTTTATGGGCACTATACGCAAAATTTTTAACGCTTTATCATTTAAATCTAGTTAACTGCATTACTACGGCGAAATCAAAATGTCAGTACAAACGTTCATATAATCTTTTCAAATATTGGCGTCAACTATTTCATAATTTTGTATTGAGATAATAAAATAATTTCCACATTTAGTATTATTTTAACGATTGTATGACATTTGACAACTGTCGACTAACTTATCAGTTAAATCTAGTTAACGGCACTACTAGGGCGAAAAAGGGCAGTACAAACGTTCATTTTTTTTTAAATATTGACGTCAAGAAACTATTTAATACTTTTGTATTTTTTTATTGAGATAATAAAATAATTTCCACATTTAGTATTATTTTACAAGAAATGCTCTTTATTTTAACGATTTTATGACATTTGACAACTGTCAACTAACTTAAAGCTAACTTCAGCCCGTGACTAAAGCGCCATAATGCCACAACTTGTCAATGTAATGGGCGTTTTAAAGGTAGGAGTAGGAAAAAATCCTTTTAGTATTAAAGTATTTATTTTAGTATTTAAAGAAAACCTTTTGGCTAAAATGTTTAATTTTAATTTGTTAATTTATTTATAAGAACTTAGCAGTAATCGAAATTTACTTTTCACGACTTTGAGAAGCTGACCTATTTTGGGGTGTTAATTATTCATGCACCTTGCAGATTCATAACTTTCTGTAAGCATGATACCCCTGCTTCAAATACCCCATAAAGACCCTGTTCAAACCGATGGATATTTGGTCAATTCTCATATAACTTGTTCCGATGCTGTATCCACTTATTTTTGTGAAAACTAATTCTCGCTCAAGGTTTTTTTTAGTGTAATAAGCATGTAGCATTTCAAGGTAATGGGAACTTAAATTATGACAACCCTAATCTATTAATTTTTTCCTAAAATGCAGGCTTTATGTTGCAAATGTCACGTAAGTTACCGGTCACCAACTGCAATATCCTAACATCGATGAATATTTCAACAAAATGGCCGTTCAAACAACTAATGTTAGTGCTTGATTAACTAAAAATAGACTTAAGATTGACAAAAAATTATTTTATCCGAAATCGGCAGTAAAGTAGTCAACAATCGTAAATTAAAATAAATCGGCAGTAAAGTTCTACTTTACTGCCGATTTCGGATAAAATAATTTTTCGTCAATCTTAAGTCTATTTTTAGTTAATCAAGCACTAACATTAGTTATTTCAACAGCCATTTTGTTAAAATATTCATCAATGTTAGGATATTGCCGTTGGTGACCGGTAACTTACGTGACATTTGCAACATAAAGCCTGTATTTTAGGAAAAAATTAATAGATTAGGGTTGTCATAATTTAAGTTCCCATTACCTTAAAATGCTACATGCTCATTACACTAAAAAAAACCTTGAGCGAGAATTAGTTTTCACAAAAATAAGTGGATACAGCATCGAAACAAGTTATATGAGAATTTACCATTTGTATCGGAATGTATGGTGTTTCTATAGGGTGTATTGGTATGTATAGGACCCATAGTTGGGATTTATGGTTGTTCTATAGGGATATCCACCCTTGATTTATTTGCTATTGATTTCAATGGGGAAAATACACATAAATGTAGAAATTAGTTTTTCCCCCATAGAAACCCATAGGTCTTAATAAAATTTTGTCAAATGTTTTATGGTTGTTCTATGGGGATATCCCTATATATCCTTAATTGAGTTATTTGCTAACGGTCTCAATAGGGAAAATGTAAAAGTTATGGTGTGCCTGTAGGTTATTTCCTATACATTTTCTATCGGGCCGTATCCGGAAAAATACATGGACAAATGCACATATTGAATCCGGTAGCGCCCGATAGATTATTTTATATAGGTCTCTATGGGGTATTTTAAGCATGGACTTGGAATAAGTAATTAAATAGTACCTACATTATTTAACATTATCGAGTTTGCGACATTTTGTCAGATTTGACGTTTGACATGTAATATTATAGATTATGACATGAATTTATTCTACAGATGGTAAAACTCTTCCTATGTAATTTCAATGTATTTTTATAATTGTACGGCGGTGTATAATAATTTGACTTTTGAACTGGGTACAAATATAAAGTCTTTCTATATAGGCTTATGAGTGATATAATATGAAAATTGTTATACGCTTGAAAAAAATATTTTTTTATTGTTTGCACATTATTAGCTGTTTTCGCAGAGCTAATCATGAATTAGTTCGGACATCCCAATGCGCATGACTTTTGAATGTCCGAACTAGTTCGGGATTATCTCCGCGAAAACAGTTATTATTATTCTAAAATGCGATTTCTATATTCTGTGGTTTCTAAATCGTCGATTTTTAATTATCAATAATTATAATTAATTCTATAAATAATTAATTTAGCCCATTTCCGTGATTTGCGCGTATCAATTTCCGCTTGACGATCGTTTTCCTTAGGTCTTAAAAATAAATTTTAAACAAAACGTGCTTTTACGACTGTTGTTAAACGTCATCATTGTTTAAACTGGAGATTATTTTCACAGCGAATTGAAAGGAAACTTTAACCGGATGCATTTATTTCAGGAAAGATCGAATAGTTATATTTATACAAATGTGAACAAGTTATTCTTGACGGAAGCAAGACGAATCATATGTATTATAGACATATAAATGTTGCATGTGTAACAATCATAAAACCGTTCAAACTCCATCCAAAAATGTTAAGGTGCGATTCTAAAGCGCAAAATATCAAAATATAAGGTAAAGGGGTTTAGACCCTTTTTTACCTGCAAAAACACTTACCTATAAACTCTATTGCTTTTGGAAAATAGCTGGCTAAGTTTTGGGACCAATGATCGTTGATGGGAATCTGCATGTAACGAATGTTTCCACTGTTTTCGAATACATTTGGTAAATCTTGGGTGACGTTAAGTATGTACTGAAAATGAAAATTAAAATGTGTTACCTACTAAAGTAATTAATTTAAAAAACTTCTAAATATTTAGTATATTGGTCTGGAATTTCAACACAATGAGAATAAATCCAGTACACCAGAAATTTATAATCAAACGTTGGATCTTGGCAAGATGAAAATTGCAAGATCCCTTAAGATCTCCACCTGGCTGGCACCTACTTTGCTAGTTAAGTGAAGTGAAGTTTCTGAATAAGTTAGTCTTGTATTGATTTTACCTGTATACTGTGTTTTGCCAGGGCTTGGCTGTCTTCGCTGTTGGCAGCATTTCCGAGGAATAGGTAAGGAATTATTTCGACCGGAAATTCCCTGTCATCTTCCAGACCTGCAACAATGAAATTGATGTCGTTCAATTGACGCGAAATCCATAAGGCATGACATTGTTGCGTCTTTCCAACGGATGGACAATATCGTAACCATATTGTTGTTTGTTTTATCTTACGTATTGTTTAGAATCGAGAGGTGGTATGTTATAAAATTGGATAAATAAAGGCACTTGCTTATTCATGGAAAACCATCATAACATATGTATTTTTTCAGGATAAGAAAATAAAGTAATATAATACAGTACACCTCAGATTTTAATCTGGAAAATTTTATAGTATATTAAGAAAAAAAGTTTATGTGAACTTACTTTAAAGCTTTGTTTTTGATATACAGGATGTTAAAATTAATAAACAAAATTATGGTCAGACCACTGCTTTTTAATGACTTTACTATTAACTAAATTTAGATTAAAGGATTAAAAATAACTCTTAATAACTCTTTGGTCTCTTGCATTTTTTCTCCATCATGCTTAATTTTCAAGAAAAAATTAAATTAGCTTATCCACTTGTGACCATAATTTTTCCAGTGGCGGGCGAATAAACGAATTTTATTTTTTTCTTAAAAATTAAACAAGATAGAGAAAAATGCTGGAGACTTATACTTATTAAAAAGCATTGGGGTATCCAAATTTCGTTTTTAAATGTCTAGTTGGGATGGCCCTGAATTAACTTAATAAAATTTAATTAAGTTTATAATTACTTAACATTTAAATTCGGCCAAGGACTTTTTAAAAATTTTGAGAAAATAACTTTACCACCCTGTATCTCGAAAACGAACCTTTAAAAGATACATACTTTATATTTATCGAAATTTTCCCAATTAAAATCTGAGGCACAATAATAAAGTAAACTTCAAAGAGTACATCAAATAAGATAAATGTGATTTATTGAAATTAAAAATATTATTTCGCTTTTCAATGGAACTCGAAATTACATACAACATGTCTCCGTATTGAGTTTACAAGAGGGAACAATTTTTTATTTTTGTTTTTTTTTAACCGTCATTCTTAAATTTTATCTACAGGGTGTTTAAAAATTAGGAACACATTACATCAATTCATAAATAAATAATTAATTAGGTTTTTTTTTTAATTTTTATAAAAAAAGTTGTTCGTAATTAAAAATTAGGCCTGAATAGATAAATTACGACAAAAATTATTAAGTAGATTTTTTTTTCTTTGTTGTTTTCCAGGATCGAGTTTTTTTATATTTATAATTTTGACTTTTTGTAGTCATTCCTAATAAAATGTTTTAAATGTAAAAAAAAATTACGTACGTATATACAGTGTGTTCCTAAATTATTGTTTAAAAAAATATGTGTCCTCTAAGTTTGTCTCACGAATCTGTCAACAAATTTTGTTGCATTAATTTCGAGACCCTGTAAAGTAAAATTTGGGATATTAACTACAGGGTGTTTAAAAGTTGGGAAAACAAAATCTATTCAAGTTATTTAAAACACCCTGTACATTTTCTTAATTAAATTTCTTTGAATTTTTTTAAATTAAAATAATTTATACTACATAAACTTTTTAACAAGGATTTGATTTCAATATGGGGACATACTGTTTAAGACTATGCGAATTTGTCCTACCATTTTATAAATTTATGCTACTGTCTAAAACCGTTTAATCAGTTGACCATTTTATTAATCAACGCTAAAACTCTATTATAAATATGCTTAAAATCTGTTTGCCACAACACACACAGGCAAAATAATCGATCCAAACAAATTTTCGATGAATTTCAATCGCAAATAAATTTTTTATTTGATGTCGGATTTAAACGAATATTAAAGAATATTGTAGATAAAGTAATGGACAATCGCTTACAACTTAAAAAATTACTAAAAAAAAGACGTATTAATATACAGGTTTAAACAAAAATATGTTTTTTACCATAAGTTTAAGACACTCTGTAGAGTGGCAAAACCGTATATTGTTCTAAATTAAGTTTTATTTATCAAGTCACATCTATTCTTAACAGTTTTGTTTTTGGTTCATCTCGATATATTTATTTTTGTAGAAAATATGGATTTTTAAAACATTGCAATTTCCAATATTTTTCTGTATGAAGAACTAAGGTTGCTATGGCTAAAGGATATGGAGAATGACAGTGACAGTTTTTTTGAATCATCTCATACTTGGTCATGTCATACACGGCTTTCAAAAGCTATCAAATTGTTTTTTGCAAATTAATGTTTAAATTTTGAGGTGTCTTCTTACTTTAAAAAATGGATGACTGATGTTGCCAGAGCCATTAATTTAATCCAGGATGGACGGTCACAGTATTACGTGGCAAGTGTTTTAAACGTCACAAGAAGTAAAGTACAAAGGGCAACATCAGTCGGAGACATTTTTAAAAGTAAGAAGACACCTCAAAATTAACACATTAATTTACAAAAAAAATTGATACCTTTTGAAAGCTGTATATGACATGTCCAAGTATGGGATGATTCAACAAAACTATCACTGTCATCCTCCATAGGCTATGGAAGGACCATAGCAAGCAACCTTAGTTCTTCATACAGGAAAATTATTGGAAATTGCAATGTTTTTTTTTTAATCATATTTTCCTGAAAAATAAATATATCAAGGTGAACCAAAAACAAAACTGTTAAAAATAGATGTGACTTGATAATTAAAACTCAATTTAGAATAATATACGGTTTTGCCACTCTACAGAGTGTCTTAAACTTATGGTAAAAAACATCTTTTTGTTTAAACCTGTATATTATAAACGTACGTAACTTTTAAAATGTGACCGATTCTCCATTAATTTACCTGCAATATTCTTTAATATTTGTTTAAATCCGAAATCAAATAAAAAAGTTATTTGCGATTGAAATTCATCGAAAATTTGTGTAGATCGATTATTTTGCCTGTGAGTGTATAATATTTAAAAAAATGCTATAAACAACTTCTTTCCTATTTTCAAGATAGCAACATTATTAAGCAATTTAAAATGGAATGACCCTTAAAATTTGCTTAAAATCTGTAAAAAACAATAACTTAAATTTGTTTTAACCCTTTCGCATCGCGAAGCATTTAAACATTCGGTATCGATTATGCGGTATGCATTAAAATTGCCCGAGCGTTTATTTCTGAGCGCTGAATTGTGCTCAAGCCTTGGCATTGACCTTTGACCTTTTATTTTTAACCTTTTGACTTTTAATTGGTTTAAATTTAATATTAATTATCGATCGGGTGCCAAATACGAATACAGAATGTTTAAATGCTTCTTTTTTAAAAGCTTCCCCATAACGAAAGGGTTAAACATTTCTTCTCCTTTTTTTCAAGATTTATTGTTACGTTTAAAAAATTACCCAGTGAACTGTCGCATCTATCGTCCGTGTCGGAGCTATCGGTGGAGCTGTTGGCGGTCGAGGAGAGGCTGTCGCAGCTGCGATGGGAGGGGCGGTGCGGCGGTGCCGATATGCGCAACGACCGGAGCCCCATCAGGGGGAGCGGGGGCTCCTGGACCGCGCCGCCGCCCACTGGACCCCCCACGGCAGGATTGTTGTCCATCAGCTCCGAACAGCTGTCGCACCATTCCGGGAACGAGGAACGGAACACCGGGAAACCACCTGTAACAAGAAAGAAAGTGAGGTTAGATTTGATGTTAGTTGTAAATTATGCGTTTTGTTTTTAAATTCCAAAATTTTGCACTCTTGTGTTAGTAAATATATCTACTGTTTAGAATCTAAACGAATGTAAACCACTTTAAAATAAGCGAGACCAACGTTTAACGTTATATGGACGTTGTGTTCTGATTTTTCCTTATCAGTCGTTATCAATAAAAAAATCTTTATCAAACGTCTTAGCGACGTGTTGCGCATGAGTAGCCTTGTGATTGTTAGCCGTTAATTCGTAAGCAATTTTTAATTAAAAAAATAATAGTGGTTTACCACTTGGTTCTAAACAAACCATGTCTACAAATCTATAGATCTAGCAATTTCAACCTACTTGCACCTAACCGATTGAGCTGAAATTTTGGAAAATTGCCTTTGTCTTCACAACCTTCTTGATGGGTGTCAAATAAAAGGGTTTGACGAGTAGAAATCCATAAGGTGAGTGACTAAATCCAATATGGCGGCTGTCCCAAGATTGCGAATTACCTACTGGACATGGGTATCAAATGAGAGGGTTTGACAAGTAGAAAACGATAACGATCAAATTTACAAAATGTATTGTTTGTTACAATAATATACAATAGTCACGGTGCTGTTCTGAGAGGTGATTTTTGGACTTTCTGTGAAACCTAATTTTTTTTTTATATTCTTGTTAATTAGGTCAGAACTAAAATTTTAAGAGCAAAGTAAAAAAAAATTGACGGTTAATTTTGTTTTAATTGGATGTTTATTAAAAATATGTATGCACACTTTCAATTCTCCAATTAAAACTTGCGATTCTGAGAGAACAAAAATTATAGAATACGTATACAGAAAATGACAATTCAAACGTCAAATAAATTTTTAATAGATCTAAGTTTCATGGCAACCTTTAAGGATATATTAATTAAGGGAACATAAATGTATACGTCAAAGGTTAGATTAAAAGTTTGAACGTTTATTGCAACAAAACAGTAAAATATATTTAAAAAAATTGTAAAAACTTTTTTTTTAGTTATGCAATTATTATTAAATATTTAAATTAAATCGCTAGTTTTAATTGGATAATTGAAAGAGTGCATAATATTTTTAATAAACAGCCAATTAAAACAATTCAAACCGTCAGTTTTTTTTTATTTTGCTCTTAAATTCTTAGTTATGACCTAATTAACAAGAATATAAAAAAAAAATTAGGTTTCACAGAAAGTCCAAAAATCACCTCTCAGAACAGCACCGTGTAGTGGGTATTTCTATATTTCCATAACACTTTGTTTTTCGTAAAAAATGTTCTTCAAAATATGACCTTTAAAACCATCCTAACATTGAAATTCTCTTTAAAAAAATCCCAACACAATTAATAGCCAATTTAGCGCTTTAGAGCACATTATTTGGCGTTTTTGAATGAAATTCAGCAAGAATGAGAATTTATGAGTCAATAAGACGAAAAGCGAGCGATTGCGAAAGGGTCGGGTCGCATTGTACAAGAACAAAATTGTATAAACGAGGGAATTTCGTACTGTGGAAGTCGTAACATGGGAATTCGGGATATGTTACGTTATGTCATTTTCAAGATTAAGTTCATGTGGCAGTTGCAGCAATTTTGAGGGTATGTTTCAAAATTAGGAAGTATTTTCTTGCCACTGTCCAAAGTTTTAGGTTGACAACGGGCTAAAAATTTAGTTAAACTTTAAAAGGCTGTTCCTCTCTTATTTTTGACGTTACGCAACTAATACGTTACGCAGATTTTGCATGTAGATGCCATAGAAAAAATAGATCGTTTAATTGCATAAATTGTTTATTTGAAACCAATAAAATGCTTAAGTTAATTGAATGATCCAATTTAAATTTAATGGTCTGACGAAATACAAGCAGAGGCAATGAAATTAAAAGTTTCAGAACTAACAAGTTGATTCTAACAACATTTCAAGTTTAAATTAATCCTTTTTAAACTCGAATTATTTGAGGAACTATAGTATTTACATTTTAAAAGCACGTAGATAACTGTTTTTGGCATGGTTACTAAAAACTCCAGTAAATTGGGGACAGCTTTGATATTTTGTTATTTTTTTTTTAAACTTAAGGGGTGCTGATAATGAATCAAGAATATTCCCCAAAAGTTTTTTTTGCTTTTTGGCTCATAACTCGCTAACTGTGAAATTTTTTGGGAATATTCTCGATTCATTATCAGCACCCCTTACTCTACATAAAAAAAATAAAACCCGACTATCATCGAGTTTTCCTTCTACAATCTTTGTTTCCTGGACTAATTGTTATTCCGTTACAAAATATATTCTGGTTTTAGATATAAAGTAATCAGTGCTTAAGCTTTAAGTCATTTCTCCCAAAAATATAGCAGTAAGTACTAAATTAAAAAATATACTTTATTTACACGCGGTCTATAACTTAAACTTTATTGTTGTCAACATTCGATAAAGAAATACCTTGTTATGGCCTAGGCCGATAAAAATTTTTATGAGGCAAGTAATTAGTTCGATTTTTTCTCGCTAGGGGTTTTGTTTTGACAAATAACGTACTAAAATGGTTTAATTTATTTATAATAAGCACTAATTTGTTTGTTTTACTGTAAATGTTTAATATTTTTCATTAAATTATTGTAAAATTAAATATGAATAATAAAACAAAAAGTGAGGTTAGGCAACCAAGAAAACACACGATTCTTTTACTACGATTTAAATTATCTTTAGGTTTTAATTTGCTTTAAGTTTTCAGTGAAATTAAATGTTAAACACAGCTTCCAAACTACCTATTTTTTAAATAAAAATCCAAACAAATTGAAATTAGATACCTACCTATTTATTGAACAATTAATTGAATTCAATGTAACAGCAAAAATCCATTTCTACTTAAATCATGTTGCTAGGTATTGTCAAACTATTACTGCTTCTAAAAGCAATAATAATTATTGTAAATTTAATGTAATCTTTAGCTAATAAATAAATGAGATTCTAAAAAAGTGAGGTTATGCCGCTTTGATGTTGAATTAAATTGACTTATATAAAGTGCTTTGAAGATAAAATGTTGTATGCCATTCGGCCAAGAAGTGCATTTTTGTGCTTCGCGCAATTGTAGGCCTCCGCTACGCGTCGGCCTTCAAACCTTGAGCTTAGCACAAAAAGCCTTACTTCTTAACCTAATGACATAAATAACTATTTCTTCGAGAAGCTAAAATATTCATTGAGATATTTTTTTCTAATTAATTTGTAAACGTAATTTTCATGTTTGTGTTTCATTACTAATTAAATTCTAAAAGAGGGAAGGGAAAGGGGATTGAAATCGAAACGGGAAAGCCGGAAAAAGGGAAAATTTTCCAGTGCCACCGCAGTGGATTGGTTGGCCGATGCACCGGGATGAACCGTAAATGGGACTATGCACGTGCCGAGTGGGAGCAGCAGGTTGCAACGGGACACACTGGGACAAAAGAAATATTCTCAGAACCTTCTGGTAATTATATTATTACATATTAAACAATGTAATGTATTAAGGAACGGTTAAAAATACAAAAATAAAATTAAAAAGCATCATCTGGAATCAGTCGGTATGCGTAAACGTCTACTACATAAACAATAATTCTACGATCGCCACGCGGAGATTTGCCCGGCTTATCATAGCTTACGACACATTAATCATTGGATATTTTTTTATTAAAAAATAAATAGATCCCAAATATTACCGTAATGATAATAACGGATAACATCAGTACATACCTATACTGATGTTATCTGTTATATAATATAACAAATAAATAAAATATTATATATAAATGATATCAATGCTAGTTAAATAGATACAGTTTTTTAAGATAAATTAAATGGTGTCTTTGGCTTAGAATTAAAGCCTTCAATCTGGTTTTAAACAAAGTCAGGGTTAGATTTTTTATATTCACTAGGAGTTTGTTGTATATATTAGGGTGGCGCAAAAAAACCGACTGTTTTTTTTTTTAGTTTCGAGTGAAAAAATGTTAGTTTTTGATGTTTTAAGAGGCCTCTCCAAAGGACACCTCAAAAAAAAATTTTTTAGAGGTCAATTCCAAATTTTTTTAAATTTCAAAAATCGTCAAAATGTTGTAGTTGATTAAATAAAATTATTAAATTGAAAAAAAATTATGTTTTCTATATTGTGCTTGATTTTTAGTCCATCTCGTGTCGTATTTTTATCGATTATTGTACTAAATAAAAAAAAATGCATGGAATTTTAATGTGAATATTAAAAGGTCGCTCGAAAAAATCCAAAGTAATGCACTGATAAATTAAAAAAAATTATGAGCGACCTTTCAAAATTTAAATTTTGATCTGAAACTTTAAGAAACTTTTTTTATGTCAGTAAAATTATACCGAGAAAAAAAATTTAAAAAAAAATCGATGTTTGAAGATTTTTGAAATTTAAAAAAATTTGTAGCGACCTCTAAAAAATTTTTTTTTGAGCTGTCCTTTGGAGAGGCCTCTTAAAACATCAAAAACTAACATTTTTTCATTCGAGACTCAAAAAAAAATAGTCGGTTTTTTTGCGCCACCCTAGTATATACAATACTATAGTCTGTACCCTTGATGTTTTATTTTCATTTCTTCATATTTTGTGTTGGCTCTTTCTATGTCTAATTGTTCTCGTCCTCTAGTGTTGTGTTCATGTGTGATTTTTTATTTGATACCTCCTTATCCTGTAGGTATCTCCTTCATTACGATTTTGTGAACCAATTTGTCTCAATTCTTCAATTACAGAGGCTATCAAAACTGTGAGGAAAAATCTCCGCGCGGCGATCAAAGAATTGTTTTTGTGTTATAGTGTTAGAGTATGTTTGTGATATTAGTTCTATTCAATAAACTTTTATTTAAATCAGCCCAACCCAATAGAGTAAATCATTTACTCCAAATAATTTGGAGTGCAGTTGCATGGAGGTCTCAGTGTGCGATATGTTATGAAAGAGAACGCGACAGAAAGTGTGACAGAGCGAGAGATGG